AGTGGAGGAATGATCCTCCCAGACTTCGGACAATACTACAGAGCTACATTAAACCAAACAGCATGGTTTTGGCACAAAAACAGACAAATGGACCAGTGGAACAGAATAGAGAGCCCAGCAATAAATCCACATACCTATGGTCAATTCATCTTTCACAAAGTGGCAAGAATATACAATGGAAAAAAGACAATCTCTTCAGCAAGCAGTGCTGGGAAAACTGGACAGCAGCATATAGATCAATAAAGTTAGAACGCCCCTTCACACTATACACCAAAATAAACTCAAAATGGCTTAAACACTTAAACATAAGACAAGACACTATAAGCTTCCTAGAAGAAAACATAGGCAAAGCATTTTCTGACATTAATCTTAACAATGTTCTTCTAGGGTAGTCTACCCAGGCAATACAAATAAAAACAAAAATAAACAAATGGTACCTAATTAAACTTAAAAGTTCTTGCACAGGAAAGGAAACCATAAACAAAAGAAAACTACAAACAAATGGAAGAAAATATTTGCAAAAGAGGCAACTGACAAGGGCTGAAATTCCAGAATATATGAACAGCTCGTACAACTTAATAACAAAAAAAAATCCAATGCAAAAATGGGCAGAAGACCTCAACAAGCAATTCCCCTCTGAAGAATATGAATAATGTTCAGTATCAGACAAATGTAAATATCAGACTAATTATCAGACAAATACAAATCAAAACTACAGTGATGTATTACCCACAACAGTCAGAATGGCCATCATCAGTAAGTCTACAATAATAAATGCTGGAGAGGGTGTGGTGAAAGGGAACCCTCCTACGCTATTGGTGGGTATGAATTTTTATGCCCTCATTATGGAAAAGAATATGGAGATTCCTCAAAAACTAAAAATAGACTTACCATATGATCCAGCAGTCCCATTGTTGGGCATATATCTGGAGGGAACTCTAATTCCAAACTACATGTACCCCAATGTTCCTAGCAGCTCTATTTATAATAGCCAAGACATAGAAACAACCTAAATGTCCATCAGCAAATGACTGGATAAGGAAGTTGGGGTATGTATATGTGTGTGTGTGTGTGTGTGTGTGTGTATACACACACATACATAGACACATACATATCTCAGCCATAAAATAGAATACAATACTGCCATTTACAGCAATTCATTAGATTTCATTCTAATTGAAGTACTCCAGAAAGGGAAAGAATAGTACCATATGATATGACTTTTATATGGAATCTAAGAAAAAAAAATGAAACAAATGAACCTATTTATAAACTGAAACAGACTCGCAAACACAGAAAACAAACATGACTACCAGGGGGATTTGGGGGTGGGATGAGATGAATTGGAAGTTTGAGCTTTGCAGATACTACCTACTATATATAAAATAGATAAATCACAGTTTTATACTATACAGAACGGGGCACTATATTCAATATCTTGTTGTAACCTGTAATGAAAAAGTACATGAAAAGGAATATCTGTATGTTTATGTTTGCCTGAAATATGATGCTGAACACCAGAAACTGAAACAACATTGTAAGCTGACCAGGATAGGAAGGCCATTTTGTAGCATAAGGTCATCCAAAGATGCCAGTTCCTTCTATCTTCTTGTTGTCTTGCAACATGTTCCATTTTCTTGAAGGGAGAAAGGGGCAGGTGGTGAGAAGCACCTTCCATCTAAGGACATGACTCAGTAGATGCACACATCCCCACTGCTCAAGTCCCATTGGCCCCACCTGGAGGAGCTGGGCAATGTGGCCTTCGATTGGGAAGCCATGTGGCCAGCTAATATAGAGGGAGCTCCACCACTCAGAAGAAGAGAAAATATCTTCATCCTTTCATTTAATAATGAGACATGCAGAGACAGGTAGGGAGAGCCCAGCTTTACACCCACTAGCTATGTATACTGCCCCTACATATAAGGTAGCAATGTCAGAAGGTACCTGGCAGCTGTGAAGCACTTCATGAAAACCTGTTGGAGTGAACTTGAATTTGATTTCCACAGACTGTTCTCAGAAACCTAGCAGAACCCCAAGAACTACCTGTGAGACCAGGAATCTTAGCAGGAGCTGATGGGCTCAGGGGACTGGTGAAGCCCTGAAAGTTCATGTGTGCATCACTGTGTTCATGTGCACAGGATTTTCCTGGAGAGCAGATCCCTGACATAACACTAGATTTTCAAAGGATTCTCTGATTGAAAGAGGGTAAGAATCCCGTTTATGAACTTTTATTCTGTATGGCCTTAGGTTTCCTTTTTCACCTTATTGGAAAGAAATACTTTTTAGCTATGAAAGCATGCAAATACATTGAAACAACATTTTGAAATATAAAATATTGAGTGAGAGAGAGAATCTTAGCCTTTCTTGTGTGCAGCCTGCATTCCCCCCTCCCCCACACACTCTCTGCTCAGCACTGGTGAGTGTTCAGAGGAACAGACCCTCTGACCTACTGCCAGGGGGAGTAAGAATTGGTACCCTCTTCCTATTTAGCTTTTCTTTTTGTGTGTCTTTACTTTGTTGATTTTTCAGATTCAGAGCTTAGAGTAACAGGAATCTCCTACAACTTTGTATCATGTGTTTCAATCTCTTGTCTCACTGACTGACCAGTTCTAATTATTTTATTCTAAATATTTATTTCTTCCACTTTATTACTTAACTACTGAATCCTACGTTTGGAATTTTTATCCTTCATATTAAATTTCCTGTCTATTACTTTTACTTGCCTTTTAAAGCTCCTGATAACTTTTCCCTTAATTTTTCTGATTTTTACTGATTTTAAGCCTGTTGTAGCTTACTGAACCATCTTGTTTTTAACCTTTTTTGTTCCCTTACTCTCTCTTTTTTTAATGTGTCCTTTTTGTTGTACATGGAAATTTATTCTCTACCTTACAAAGTTTTCCCAGATAACTGTGGCTCCTACATTTACCTCCATGTAAAGCAATTGACACCATGACTGGAGGGTGTACTTAAGAATTGTCAGACATCACTTTTTTAATAAAATGCGATTCAATCCTATCGGACTAGAAATATGCATGAGCAGAGAGCTGGCAAAGATGGAACTCTGAGGACGTTCCTTTCCAGAAATGCTAATTGAAGGCTGAGGCCCTTCCAAGAACAAGCTGAGATTCCAGGTTGTATACATTGTCAGATAGGAGTCATTTAGCTTAACCTGACATTTTCAGCTGTTCCCAAAAACATCTTTATTGTATATTCTTATATCCTCGAGAAGTCATTTTCTTAAATCCCTAGGGTTCATCCAGGCATTTACAAAGATGAAGTAAAAATCTCGATTCCCATTGCTTCCATTTCTTGGACAGAGGCATGTATGTCAGAGACAGACAAGCTTAAGATGGAATCTTGGCTCTGCCCTTTCTATCAAAACAGGATAACTGTGCTAGTGATGAACAAACATTGGTGGAAAACTGGTCGAAAAGGACCATGGAAGGGTTGAGTTTCGACTCGGTGTTTAATATGGGAGCAGGGTGGTGGAAAAAGACTAAATCCACAGTATTTGCTCCAATGGGGTGATGAGCTGCAGGGAGCTTGGGGTGACATGGGGGAGCATAAGTGGATGGCAGGTGGGGAGGAGGGTCCCCAGACATCTGGAGGAAATGAGCCTTTCTTTTTGATACCATGGCCTGCAGCTGGACACAGCCCTGCACACAGGAGGCAGGGACAGGGTCTACTTAGATTTCTCTCTTGAAGAAACATGTCAGGGAAGACTTTGATTAATGACCATTGACTGCCATTCAAGATATCTGAGCACATACCTGCTCATTTGTGTGCAGTCAGGACACACCTACACACTTTCCCATCCTCTTCCTCTTTCTGTCCTAGGCTCCTCACTCTGATTCTCAGTTTCACGCTCTCATTCCACTAAACTCCAAGGTTCTAGCGCCATCTCAGGTTCACATCTTTGTCTTATATCTTACATAATGCCTGCCAATTTCCCTCCAACACCCAAAGCTTTCTCACCTTGGCTACATTACTTTGGGTGTGACTCATTTTCCTTTTCTGAAAGGCAAAGAAATTCATTCCTTCTGTAGGGTGCTTGTGAAGTTAAGTGAAATAGCATGTGAAGGTGCTTAACCTGGCATCCAGGAGATGTGGGTGACTGAACATGAATGCCTTTCTCCAGCTCATCATCCCTATGGTCTCAACCACTCTTTGAAGATGAGTGCATAAATTCATTTGTGCACATTTGCACATGGATCCCATTCATTTCCCAGAGGCTGGGGTGGCTTTCTGCCAGTTTCCAGAAAACAAAGTGCCTTCCAGATTGCTGCCTTTCTTCTTCCTCACAGAACCCTCTGGTTGAGGAATAATTTTCCCATTTATAACTAGAGAACTGAGGCACAAAACAAATAAAGGAACTTTTCCAAGAGCTCACAGCAGTCAACCATGGAGTTAAGACCTGTCTCCAGAACTAGTGTGCTAGTGTGTCTTCTCCACATCTGAACCCAGCCCCATAGTGAATTTTGTATTCTCTGGAATGTGTTGTCAAGGGTGCTTTCTCCTCTGGTTAAACAATTATGATTTGCTAGTAAATGTAGGCTTGCTACACCAGACACTCATTATAATGTCTCAGCCTTCCCTGGTGAGTCGGGTATGCTGGATTCTCTTCCTTTACTAGACTCTAAAATACTTGAGTTTAGATAATTTGCTTATATTATACTTGTGTCTTTAGGCCTGTTCTTAAGACACATGGTATATGCTCACTCAATTCAAGTAGGATGAACACAAGAATGAATGATTATAAGGAAACTTTATGTCCTGTAGTGAATTCAACCCAAATATAGTTGAGAGGAGGAAAAATGGAAAAAGAAACATTCCCATCAGACCAAGGTGCATATGCACACACACACACACACACACACACACACACACAAACACATGTGTGTGCACGCAACCTCCCTTCAATACAGACTGCACACACACCCTTGATTCCTGGACACACAGCCATGTGCATATTCAGCTGTGAGTGTTTTATGATTTTTCAGATGGTGAAGAAATACGGGAATGTTCTTAGGCTGGAATTTGGTGACTTGTCTTCAGTTGTTATAACTGGATTGCCCTTAATCAAAGAAGCCCTTGTCCACCAGGGCCAAAACGTTGTGAACCGCCCTAGAACCCCTCTCATGGAACGTCTCTTTATGAACAAAGGTAAGTGCCTGAACTAATGTGAAGTATATGTTGGATATTCTTGTGGTCTGTGACAGGTGCCTTGGTGACTTAATGCTCCAACACTCCCAGGGACCAGCCCCATCATAAAGTTCCTGCCCCTGAAGGAAGCTGAGTGCCTGCATTCCCCACTGAAGGCCAGTCCTCAGGGACCCTGGCCGGGTCAACCCAGTGTCAGGGATTTGGGTGAAGCTGTGTCACCTGCGTGAACTCACTCTGGGTGCTTTTATAAATCAGTGTCCTCCTCACTCAATGATGAGATATGTTTTATAAGAGGAAGCAGCATGTTCTCAGTCTCTCTGCTTTCAGACTGACATCTTTCTCCTAGGAAATGGATGTGGATCATTGTCTTTCTGCTGAGTATGTGAACCCTCCGTGCCTCAAGTTGCTTATTCTTTAATATTGAAATTGTGCCCCACAAGGTATCTCCACACTTTGGGTCTATATAAGAAGAGTTTGGCATGAATACATAAAATGATCTTTAATCAACTTACACGTTGAAAACTCTAAGTGAAAAATGGAAATAATTTCTTCTAACAAGTCACCCATTTTTTAGGTGCTTCTCAATTATTCTTTGAAATATTGTACCCATTACCTCTACATCCATTCACTCTATTTGTAATCTGCCCTGTGACACCTGGTGGCGGACATGACTGATGTAACAGTGAGTAGAACAAACAAAGTCCTTGCCATCATGTAACTTACATTCTATTTAGAAAGACAGTATCAATTACTGTAATAATTTAAAGTCTTATTGTTATGAAGGTAAATGCAGGTGCACTTACTAGGGGTATATCATCTAGTCCTGAGGTTCAAAAGGGCTTATGTATGTAAGTGACAATTAATTTAGGAAACTGAGGAAGCAACAAGGCAGAGGGAACAGAATATGAAAAGTCTCTGAGGAGGAAAGGAGGGAAGGAGGGAGATGAACTTGAGGAACTGAAAGGGGGCCAGTGTGGCAGCGCAGGGATTCAATGGAGGTGAAGCTGCTGCGTTTGGCCAGGACCCTTCAGGCACATTCTTGTTAAGGATGCTGCATTTATCTGAAGAACAAGGGAAACTCTCAAATGGTTTAAGTAGAGGAAGGAATCATCATGTCCACAGAGTGAACTTTGAAGATTAATGCAGGCTGCAATGTCCATAATAGAATAAAGGGACAAAGAGACTATTGTAGCATTTTTGTTAGAGAGGTGGGATCTTGGGCTACAATAGATTAGACCAGGATAGTGGCGGTGAAGATACATGGATTTAAGAACTTCAGGAGGTAAGTCCAGTAAGACATGATGACCTAAATGGAGGGAGAATGAGGTATTGAAGTGGACACACAAATGGGCAGATAAAGGGAAGAAGGAATATTTAGGGAAAGACAAGGTGTGGGCTGGCTTGGGTGGGGAATTATGTGGAGTAAATGAGGAATTCAGTCATGGATAAGCTGATTTTAAAAACCTTTAAATCAGCAGAGTCAAGCAGACAACTGTATGCACGCCTGGAGCTGAGAGTCAGAAATAGATATTGACTATCAGTAGACGTCATTAACACTCTAAGAGTTAATGAGTTTTTCTCAGGAATGGAGGATAGGGTAGGAAGAGAAGAGGCTTGAAGATCATGAAACTTGAAGAACTGCATCATTTTGAAATTTGATAGAAGTAGATGAATTAACCAAAATGTGGTAAATTCTTGGTGGTCAGAAAATTCGGAGGAAAATCTGGAGAGTGAGGGGTCCTGAGCACCACTGGAAGAGAGTGTTTCAAGAGAGAAGTGTCTCAGGCTGCTAACGGATCCAGATGAGTTTGAAAAGGATCCTGGATTTGACAGCAGGGAGGGGCATTTGATGGAGAGGGTGGAGGCCAGAGCCAGACATTGAAAGGGACTGAAGAGTGCTCTGGACTTGAAGACATGAAAGGAGTGTGACCTCACCTGTGTGATGTAATAAATGATGGTCTATTGAACACAGCAAGATGGGGTATTTTCCCCTTTGCTGTGCTGTTGTTTTTGCATAGACTGTTCATGCTTATTTGATTTCTTGAGTGATTCATTTATCTTTAAAATCTGGCTTGGAGTAGAGCCTTGACTCCTTATGAGTAAGGATTTTGTCTAATCAACACGTGCATTCTTAGCATGTAGCACAACAAATACTAAACTGTACTTGGGTGACAAGTAACCAATGCATTGGGTTCAGAGTCAGGCAGTCTGAATTTGAAAGCCTGTTCTCCTAGTTACTAACTCTGTGACCTTGCAGAGATTACTTATATCCATCATGTCTCTTTTCCCTCCTAGACCAGATTAGGGGTGGGATGTTGACAGTAATAACAGTACCTAGCTCAGAGAGGCTCTGTGAGTACTACATTACATAATGCATTAAAAATACAAGTGTGTTCCGGCATTGCAAGCAAGCAGTAAATACTAGTCGTCATACCCATGGCTTTGGGGTTATTTCTCTGAACAGTTTTCAAGTGCCTTTTGCCCTCCTCCTTCCTTCCATCTGATACACATCCCCATGGCATTTGTTGGCTGTCTTTACGTAATGTTCACTTCTTTTTTCCCAGGATTGATCATGTCCAATGGCCAGGAATGGAAGGAGCAAAGAAGGTTTGCCCTGATGACACTGAGGAACTTCGGTTTAGGAAAGAAGAGCTTAGAGGAACGCATTCAGGAAGAGGCCCGCTACCTCACCCAGGCAATAGGAGAGGAGGACGGTGCGTGTGTCATAGGTCATGTGCAGGAGACTGTGGCTCATTCCTTCACTGACCAGATGCTTAATAAGTGCCCACGTGCCTGCCCTGTGCCCAGCACTGTGTAGGGCCCTGAGGGGTTAACAGTGAACAACTAACCATGACCTGCCCTCATGGAGCTGGAGAATTAGACACAAGAAGATGGGTATAGAACACATTGATTTAAATCCTGGTTGTCAGTTTGACTTCCAGGCACTGACTGAGTACTTGCTGTAGGTCAGACCCTGTGGAGGGTGCTGGGGCCACAGTCTCAGAGGTGGTACTATACTCAGTGTGTCCTGTGTCATGTAGGGTAGACCCTCAGAGGAAACAGAAAGACCCCAATTCTCTCCCTCCAGGACAGCCTTTTGACCCTAACTTGAAAATCAAGAATGCAGCTTCCAATATTATTTGCTCCATCACATTTGGGGAGCGTTTTGACTACCAGGATGAGCAGTTCCAGGAGCTGCTGAGGCTGTTGGACGAGTTCATGAGTCTGCAGACATCAATATGCTGCCAGGTGAGACGTTCTCACTTCCTACCTTAGATAATGATATTGGGTTAATGTCAGAAACAGATTTTGTTTTTTTAAGCTAATGTATAGCCTTTTAAAATTGATTTTAACACAAAATGTTTGAAATCAGTCTGTTGTATTTATTGTTTTAGATAAGATTGTTTCAATTTACTATAGACAAAGAATGTTATTAACATTCAGGTATAGCATAAACTTCATATGACCTACTCCTATGGAGCCACGTTGTTTTCTTTAAAAAGCAAAGGGTCACAACAGCCTTTGAGCCCCTCCTGTCCATGTTCTTCCCTAACCCCCCACCCCCATCCTCCCTCAGAAGTTCCCTTCTGTGCCTGGTGCTCCCTGTCTGCACTGTTCTGAGTCATACGTTAGATGCTCTTGTTTTTAATTTGTTTAGTTTTCTATTGTGTGACTATGCCACTGTTTATTATTCGATTCTCTACTGATGGACATTTGGGTGACTTCCAGTCTGGGGATGTGGGGACTAAAGCTGCCATGAACATTCTTGTTTAGTTCACGTGGACACATCTTCCCATTTCCCTTACATTTACACCTGTGTGTAAAAAATATTTAAATTTGTCCCTGTTGGCTGCGCTACTTATGTGCCCACCGACTCTTCATATGGTCAATTATCCAGTTTTGTCAGGTATTGATGTAGGGGGTTCAAACCTCACCCCTTCCTTGGTGGGCCCTTCCCTTCTCCTCTATCCTCTAGGCCAGTGAGTCTGTCAGTAACTCTGCTCAGCTTCTTGGTCTCTCGGCCTCTTTTCTGGATTTGAAAGACACTTTGATGGAAAATCAGCCCTAAGTGTTGAGGTCACCTCTCTGGTGTCTAGAAGGGGGTTTGCTGTTATTTATTCCTGACAAGCATCTTTATATCGAGCTTTGGACCCATCACACCAAAGGTGCTAAATCAGTTCCATGTGATTCCTGGCACATTAAAGGGGCCTAATGAATGTGGGCTTTTATGATTATTGTCAATGTTAGTTTTGAATCATATTCCCTTTTCTCTCTTCTAATCAAGGTAGTCCCCCATTCAGCAATTCCAATTCTTACTTCTTCTTAAGACAGAGCTGAGGAAATCATAACAGTTCAGTGGGTACCCAGCTGACTGCTTGCAAGGATGTGAAATTCCCAGGAGGGTAGGATGGGGCAGCAGGGCAGGGGTAGAAGCATTCCTTAGAGGCACAAAAAGACCAGGCATATTGATGGACAACTAAACACACGTTATCTCTGCTGATTTTTTTATAACTGTTCTTTAAAGATAAAATGAAGCATCTTGATGTGTGCAAGCAGGTAAGGGAGTATGTAAGCAAATCCACACAGTGTCCACTGGCTCTGTGTAAAGTGGGGATAGAATATCATGTCATTAGTCAGAAAATAACCCTCAGGCCTGACTGGCAGACAGATAAAGTAGCTACAGATCACAACATTATTACTATTATCAGAGGAGTATTATACCTAAAAAGCAGGAGAGCTAAAAGCCAAACTCGTGCCTGTTCATTTTAAATCTAGCCCACTTTCCATTATGTTATACTATCTCTTTTACCAGATATTATTAGAGAGAATACCTTCAAAAACCACTTCATTTCAGTATAAGATGTCTTACAACACGGAAATTACATCAGAGTGGGGACAGGCAAATAAACAGATATATGTCTTTAACATAGATACATACAGAGACACATAGACAGGTGGACATGTTTTACACAAACACAAGTATATATACACCAATGCAACTAGTTATAACTGCCAAGAAGTAAGTTAAAACAAAATAAAGAAATGAAAGGAGGCTGCGGAAGTTCTGCTAATTATAGGATCATCAGGCAAGACAGCTCCAAGGAGGTGACCTTTGAGCAGCACCTTAATGAAGGAAGGGGCTGAGTTATGCAGATTTCAGAGGAAGACCATACCAGGTGGAAGGAACAGCAAATGCAAAGACCTAGACAAGGACATCCTGGGTGTTACCGCAGAGGCCAGTGGGGCTACACTTAAAAGAGTAAGAGAGAGGAAGATGGTGGGGAGGGTAGCAGAGGAGGAGACAGGAATGTGAGGGGCCAGCTAATGGAGAGCGACAGTCCAGGAGAATGAGGTGAATTTTTTCTAAATATAATGGAAAGTCACTGAAGGATTGAGAGCCAGAAAGTGAAGTGATCAGTTAAACTGTTAAATGATCCCCCTGGGAGCTCAATGGAAAGTAGCCTAGGAATGGTGTGAAGGATGGAATCAGGAAAACTGTTGGAGGCTCTTGCAGCATCCAGGTAGGATATGCTGGTGGATTGTACAAGGATGAGAAAGCGGTTGGAGTGGTGATGGGTCCTCTTATACTGGTTAATTGTGGATGGAGGGATGGAATTCTTGGCCAGAGGGTAAGAAGAGGGATGAGAGATTAAAAAACTGGAGGGTGACCCAAGGGATAAGTCTAAACAGAGAAAAGAGAAAGAGCAGATGGTTTCATGTCTTAAAAAGTGCAAAACTGGCACAGTTTTGTCTCCATAATTGTTTTTTCCTTAATCAGCTCTATGATTTTTTTCCACGGATAATGAACTTCCTTCCTGGACCCCACCAAAGGCTCTTTAGTAACTGGGAAAAACTGAAAATGTTTGTTACCCATGTGATTGAAAACCACAAGAGAGACTGGAATCCTGCTGTAGCAAGAGACTTCATTGATGCTTACCTCCAGGAAACAGAGAAGGTGAGGAATCCAGAGTTGTTTCCTGAGGTTTGATCTTAAAGAGCAGTCGAGGGGATTCAAGTGTCCTATTGCTGCTGTAACAAATTACCACAAACTTGGGGGCTTAAAAGAACACAATATATTGTCTTATAGTTTGAAACATCACAAGTCTGAAACCAACTTCACTGGGCCAATGTCAGGGTCATACAGGGCTGGCTTCTTCTGGAGGCGCAGGGGAAAATCTATTTTCTTGACTTTTCCAGCCTGTAGGGGCTGCTTGATACCCCTTGATTCATGGCCCTTCCTCCATCTTTAGAGTCATCAATATAGCACCTTCTCTGTTACCAACATTACGTCTCCATTTTATGATCATCTTGCTCCCCTCTTGTAAAGCTTCCTGTGAATATATTGGGCCCCGTGGGATGACCCAGGATCATCTTCTCACATCAATATCTTTAATGTAATGATATCTACAAAGTCCCTTCTGCCACATAAGCTACCATTCCTGGGTTCCAGAAATCGGCTCATGGACACCTAACTGGGTCTTTATTCAGCCCATCACAAGGAGAAAATTATAGGCAGTATTTCAGACGGTGAAAGAATATCATTAACTCAGAATTGAAGAGACATTTAATATATAGAAATCAATTATACTTAATTAGAAAAGAGAAATAGTTAAACACTTAAAAATTTTAAAGAAATATAGAAGTTTAATGGTATTAAGCTCGAGGCTTTTGAAACCTGAAATACTGCGAGGTTATGTGTTCTTGACCTTCTACCCATCTCTGAAGGAGATACACACAAAAGGAGAAATGAGTATAGTTTCATTATAGTTGAACCAATGCCAAGTACCCTACCCCTTCCCCCAGCTCCCCAGGTCAGAACACAAGTAAAGCTGAGTCTGATGCCAGAGTTCAGACTCAAGTGGGAGAGAGTTTTCCTTCCTCCCTTGTCCCCAGATCACCCACATTTCAACCATATAGGAAAAAAGCAGGACAAATCAAGACTGAATGAATAGCTTTTACCATAGTAACCCCTCTGGTTAATACACATCACTGCATCCCTGTCGTCATCTATGACTCATCAGATTATTTATTCCTTTCCTGGAGTTGACAGAGTGGTGGATTTCCTTCCATCTCCTCTCTTATTTCTCCTTATTGGCACAGCATTCCTGGAAGCATTGGTTCTCCTCAGAGGAAGAGACTCCACCTGCTGTAAGGTGTGCAGGTGTGGGACCACACACAGAGGAATGTTGACACAGTTAAGCTTCTGGAGGAAGGTGGTAAAGATGCTGGAGAACCATGAGGAATGGTTGTTGGAATCAGCGAAGTTTAACCTAGAAAGGAAAAGAATAATGGGGAAAATGAAAATTGTTATAGTTTAGAGATATCCAGTTCATTTTTTCTGGTATCAGTACAGACACTTTTTCAGTAATTGCTACGTACCCTATATATCTCACATAATTCATAATGCTATTGTAATGGCTGAATGTTGTTAGTTCTGTTTTATGAATCAGGAAACTGAAGCACAGAGAGGTTTATTAACTTTCTCAAACTACACAGATAGTGAATGATGTGGCTAGTATTGGAACCCCCGGCTGTTTTTCCAGGGTACTAACAGATTCTTCCAAGTTCTGGGCATAAAAAAATAATTAGTCATCTTGATTTTCATCCACCAAAGGTAAC